AGAGCATTTGACTTCTTGTAGTCTGCAGAAGAACCATGAGCAGCAGAAAGAGGTTTGCAGTAGGGACAGGACAGTGGGTCGTTCCCCTCCCCGTGCCTCTAGGTCCCCAGCCACCATCATCACACAGGTCAGAAAGAGTGGTCACAGGGCCATTAACACACTGGAACTGGGAACATGATACTTAACAGAAGCCCAACAGAAGATCATCTCTAGAAGAGACTGGGATTCAAAGATGAAAAGGAACTGCAAAAGACAACTCAAAAAAGTCTCCTTTTAGTTAGAGGCCTGAGAGAGACAGACAGACAGAGACATAGTAACTCCCAATCATTCCACTGGAACTGGGATTAAAGAGTCACTAGGAGGTGCTGTCTTTGAAAAGCAATCTGACTGGAGAGAAGCCAGAAAGAGCTCAGCTGTGGCTCCATGTACAGCACAACTGTCTTGGTTGGCAAGTCTCTTCATGGTCAGAGCCTCCAATGTCATCTGACCTGGATTTGATCCATTTAGTGCTTTCTTTTCTTGTTTGGGCATAGTCCCAGTTGTTGCTGCAAATGGAAAAGCTTAGTGGGCAGTGTGGTGTAGACTCAAACCTAAGTCAATATTGAGAAATGCCATTCTCAGGGCAGCTTTACGAGCATGAGTATTCTCAGATTATAGAAAACATTACTCATCTTCATTCCGTTTTTGTTTATTTTCTGATGCACAAGTCAGCATGTTGAATTCATTGTAACTAACTTCTGCTTATATGCAGGGAAATTGGTTTGCCAAGTGTGTGTGTTTAAAAGCAAATTGTGTAAAACCAGCCAAGAGCCAAGCCACTTGGCCACATGTAGATGCTGAGAAGTTATATAATTAATATGGAGTGAAAGCTTTGTATTTGAGACCTTGAAGAAAAAATATGCAATTTTAAAAAATGTTTGTGAGATGGTGGATCATTAAAACATCAAATATTTTTGAAGAAATTAAAAAAATAAAAATACAAAGGATGATATAATATATCCATATCCTTACCTAGAATTGTAACTATTAACATCTTGTTGCATATTTTTTAAGAGTTTAAATTACTATCATGCTAAGTAAATTAAGCCAATCCCCAAAAAACAAAGGTGAAATGTTCTCTCGGATATATAGATGCTAACCCAAAACAAGGTGTTTGGGGTGGAGGGGAGAATAGAAGTTCAGTGGATTCGACAAAGGGGAATGAAGAGAAGGGGACAGGAATAGGAAAGATAGTAGAATGAATCAAACGTAACTTTCCTGTGTTCCTACGTAAATACACTAGTGAAACTCCACATCATATATAACCCAAGAATAGGATTCTAATTAGAATAAGATGTACTCCATGTATGTATAATATGTCAAAATATAATCTGTCATGTATATCTAAAAAGAACAAAATATAAAAATATAGATTAAAAATAAAACTCTATTTGACCTATTACTTCTAGTCCCATTCTCTTCCCCAGTCTTTCTAGCAATAACTTCTATCATGAAATAAGGATCTTTCCAGTCTGTTCTGAGTACTTTTATATGTGTGTATGTACTCCTGCCTGTGTATAAATAAAGAAGTTTTATGTCTACATGCACAGGTATGCATCTGTGAGCAATATTGTTTTGTGGAGTGCTACTTTAAAATGTATCAATGTGGTATACTACATGCACAGTAACGGTAGCAGCTAACATTTATGGACTGGTTGCCCTCTGCCTGGAGTTGCATTATCTCAGTCCTAATAATGGTATTATATGGTAAGAACTATGTTTTTTTAAAAAAATTTATCAATCTATTTCTTTTTTGAAATATTTTTTTAATTGTAGTTGGGCACAATATCTTTATTTTGTTTATTTATTTTTATGTGCTGCTGAGGATCAAACCCAGGGCCTCGCATGTGCCAGTCGAGCACTCTACTCCTGAGCCACAACCCCAGCCCAGCACTATGGTTTTGATCCCCCCTTTTATTGGGAAAGCAAGGTACATAGACTAGTCATCTGCATAGGGTTACATAGCTCGTAAGTGGTGGGGCTGAGAACTAATTCCTTTGACTATCATGCTAGATGCCCTCTTCCCTATATCACTGCAGGAGTCCTCACCCTCAACATTGCATTTCTGATAGCTGTGGTCGACAAATTTGTAGGAATAGTTCATTCCTTTTTACAATTATGCTGAATGTGCCATAGAATGAATATAACATGCAAACTCATTGCATGGTGGTTAAGACTATAAAATTGACATAATGACGTTTCTGTCTCACAGGATTGTCGTAAAAATTAAACGGCTTAATTCAAATAAAGCAGGTAGGACAGTACCTGGCACAGATTGAGTACTCCATAAATGTTAGATACTCTTTGCTGTTATCACATATCCATCAGCCTATTGAACTAATCACTAGGTTGTTTTTTAGTTTCTTCCTGTTACCTATCCTGTCCCAGTGACAGCCCCGTCGGTTGGACATTTCTGTAGGAGAGGAGTTGGTGGCTTGGAGTGTGCATGCTTTCAGTTTTCCTTGACCAAAGGCACTGTGTCAGTTTACACTCCCTAGTGCACTGTATAGCAGTTCCAATTTCCCACAGCCTCCCTGACGGTGGATATTGTCTGACTACTAGAATTGCTGATCTGATGGGTAAGAAATAATATCACTGTCAAATTGGTGAATTTTTAAAATTTGTTTTAATTAGTTACACATGACAGTACAATGATCTTGGCATATCATACATTTGAATCAGATGGGTATAATTTCTCATTTTTCTGAGTGTACAGGTTGTGTTTTTATCACAACTTTATTGAGCTATACTTCCCACACCATAAAATTCACCCTCTTACACTGTACAGTTCCATGGGTTATTTTTTTTTAGTATATTTACAAGAATGCACAACCATCACCACTATCTAATTTAAGAGGAAATTCTTTACCCATTAATGGTCACTTACCATTTTCCCCTACCCCTAGCCTGTGTCACTGCTAATCTACTTTCCATCTGTATGGATTTACCTATCCTAGACATTTCATATAAATGGAATCATGTAACATATTTTTTCATGACTGGCTTCTTTCACTTAGCATAATGTTTTTGAGGTCCACCTGTGTTGTAGCAGGTGTCAGTGGCAGCACTTCATTCCTGTTTGTGGCCCAGTAATATTCCACTGTATGGATATATCACATTTGGTTTATCCATTCAGCAGTGGATGGAAACCTAAATTGTTTCTACACTTGACTATGGGTGACTAATGCTACTAAATGAACATTTGTGTGCAAATTTCATATGGCATGTTTCTAATCTTCTTAGTTATGATTATGTACTTGGCAGTGGAATCGCTGGGTCAGATGGTTACTCTGTTTAATATCTTGAGAAACTGCCGACCCATCAGCAGTGTCTGAGGGTTCCAATTTCTGCAGATCTTTGTGTCCAACACCATGCTATTGTTTTACTTTTTAACTCTGGCCATCTTAGTGGGTGTGAATTGGTGTCTCGTTGTGGTTTTGATTTGTGCTTGCTTGATGATTACCAGTGTTGAGCTTCTTTTCATGTGCTTGTTGACTATTTGCATATCATCTTTGAAGAAATGTCTATTCAAATTATTTTTGCCCATTGGGAGGAGAGGGTAATTTGTCTTTGTGTTTAGTTGTAAGAGTTCTCTTAAGTGAAATAAGCCAGACACAGAAAGACAATACTAGGCAATAGTAAATGTTCTATTTACTATTAGTCTAGATACAAGTCCCTACCAGATGTATGATTTACAATGTTTTCCATTCTGTAGGTTGTCTTTTCACAAAATTGATGTGAACTGGTGAATTCTGATATCTGTAGTTCTCAGTGTTTCCTCAAAATTTCAATCTTCAAAATTGCCCCCATATTCTCTGCTGAGCATGTAACAAACCTAAGGCAATAAAGCAAACACTGCCACGCATCAGAAACGATGACATCGTTCACAAACACAGATGTCCCCTGTTCATTGTGGTGAGCCTCTCAGCCCAGGAAGATTTAGTTGTGACAAAGCAGAGAAGAAGCCTTTTCACCTAATTACAGCTTGAATTTCATAATGAAAAGCTTTGAAAATTCATTTCTATACAGTCTAACAATATTTTGGTCAATAATAGACCACATATCCCATAAAATTATAATGGAGCTGAAAATTTACTATTGCCTAGTATTTTTGCTGGGCCTTATCTCTTTTATTATAATCATTAATGTGTTAATTATACAAATTGATGGGTTTCACCATGACATTTGCATACATGCATCTATCATGCCCACATTTATTCGACCCTGTCTTTTTCTTCCTCCCCTCCCCCATCCCTAATATTCCCTTTTCTACTTTCAGGTCTTTTTTTCCCTCCCTCCAATTTCTACATATGAGAGAAAATTACAATACTTGTCTTCCTGTGTCTGGCTTATTTTACTTAACATGATGTCCTCCAGCTCCATCCTTTTTTTCTGCAAATGACATGATTTTATTCTTCTTTATGTCTGAATAATACTCCTCTATGTATGTATACCATACTTTCTTTATCAGTCTGTCAATGGGCACCTAGTCTGATTCCATATCTTGGCTCTTGTGAATAGTCTTGCAGTGAACATGGTCATGCAGGTGTCTGTTTTATATGCCAACATCATCTTTTTCAGATAGATTCTCAGGAGTGATATAGTTGGCTCATATAGTAGTTCTATTTTAGTTTTTGGAGGAACCTCCATACTGTTTCCCATGATGTCTGTACTAATTCACATCCTCTTGTTGCCTCTCAGCCTGGGAATGAAATGGATTTCATTGTCTAGATGCTGGGAAGACACTCTGTGAGGAGGGTTGTAGTAGAAAAATCACCTCACCGTGCATCTCTCGGCACATGTCCCCATTGTCAAATGACACATGACTGTGTTTTCAAAACACTGGTTGTTTCATTCAGATTCCTTTAAAATTCTGTTTAACCTGACCTCTTCCTTTTTTCTTTTTTCCTTTTTTCTTTTGTTTCCTCATCTCCCTTCCCTGCTCCCCATTTCTGTTTCAGATTGAAAATGGCTCAAGCGTCAGTCAGCAAGTTGACATCAGAGAAGAAAGTGGAGACAAAGAAAATCAATCCCACTGCCAGTCTGGTGAGACTCTGTTTTCAACATAACCTCCCGATTTTTTGCTATAACTGAGGAGCACCCAGGAGTGTGTCTGAATTTAAAGGCTAAAACTCAAGGATGAAGCATAGTATCTGGATCCTCAGTTCCCATTCCAGAATAGCCTATGGTAAAAATGAATATGTGGGGGTGAGAGAACAAAATGTGGCTTCCTTTTCCCCCTGCAAACTCAAAAAAAGGTCATTTCTGATAAACCAGATTTCATCACTTGCCATTTCACAGCCTTCCACACTCTACCTACACAATCCCCATTATCTCAAAGTACTTTTCTCCTGAAATGTTCAAGCATATTCACCCTCATCAATTGCTTTCCCCCATTAAAAGAAAGGGGCAGGATATTCCATGTTGATGGTTGAGGAAGCTGAGAATGCGGGAAGGTATAGCCTCCCTGCTGTCACTGGTAAATGGATAGCAAAACCCAGCACCCCAAATGGGTGCCCTGATATCTCCATGTTGGAAATCAGTCATTTACTTGGGCTTTCTACATTTGATAGAAAGTTGTCCTCAAAGCCCAATTTTTAGTAGGGATCACACTGAATTGCTACCTAAACATCTCAAAAAATACTCAGAACCAAGGTTAGGAACCCAGGATATTGGCAGGGAGACTGCCTGCACTCACAACCCAGTTCTACAGCTTAACAGTTGTAAAACCTTAGTAAAATGAATTTGCTTCTTTCTTCAGTGAAAAGAGAGAAATGATAACTTCAGTTTAGGATTATTTTGCATAAACTGGGAAAAGACAGGTTGTCTATAATAGGAACTTGATAAATGTTAGCTATTTCTCTTGTTACTATGAATTCCAGCACCTTTGGTGGATCCTGCAGTAGGGAACAGGAGTGGTAAGTGACAGTATCACTCTCCTCACTTTGAATTTTAAGCCCTACATTTTCTGAGGCCTGATATCTCACTTATTTTGTCCTTTCATATAGCAAGTACTATTTGCCAGCTTCTTTAAATCCTTTGAAAGATCCCTGTGGGGCCGGAGTTATAAAATGGGATAATTTGTTTATTGACCATGGTACCTCTTGTAACAACCCCATCCAGCAGCTAAATGAACGTTTCATGAAATGGATGAGAAATGGAGAAGTCAGGTAGAGCCAGGTTTAGTGCCATAGCCCCTTTCTGAATAGACACACCCCACCCCACAGGGTCCAGACCCATTTCATGAGGCATTTATTATACTTATCTGTGTGATTTTCAGAGGCAGTGAGCTCAACTTTGATTTTTGTCTTTCTCTTTCATCAGCCTCTGACCTTTTTTGGGGGCCTCAATTCTGACTTTTATAGCCAAATTTGTTCCCCAGGGTTGGAGAGAATGGAGTCAGCCCTGTAGACAAAGGGGAAGTTGAGTTTACAGTGGCACCTTTTGTAAGTTGACCTTCTTTATGAGCAAGCTCCCAACTGTGATCCTCAGCTTGTTAGAGTTGTTATGTTGTTCTCCTGTTTGTTGGTGAGGGTGGTTGGAAATTAGGGAAGAGCTTATAAAGTGATCCCTGATCAGTTTCACAAGCAAGGGTGGAGGTCCAGACCCAGGATGCGACATGTAAAACTACATCAACTTCAGTTTGTATCCAGCCCAATGTAGTCATGCACTGTAACATCCCAGATCACAGGCACCTGAGGGTCACTTCCCAAAGGGCTCCTCTTGCTCTTTTGGAAGGAATGCTCTTTCCCCTTTTCCTTCCCAGCTTATTTCCACTCCCTACGTTTAATTTTATTTACTTCCATAGAATTACAGAAGCAGCAAGGGCCCGCATTTCTGTTGTGTTCCTTCCTGTATGTTGTGCATTTTCCCATAGGTCTTTCATGACCTCCCCCTCCTTTTTTATTTATTTTTGTTTCTATTAGTTCAATTTATTTTATTGGTACATTATAATTATATGTAATACTGAGATTCATTGTGACATATTCATGTATGCACACAACATAATTTGGTTGATTTTATTCTCTAGTTCATTTTAATCATCCTCCCCTGTCCCCTCCTGTCTTTCCTGATCCCTTCCCTAACTGTCCCCCTTCTATCTTCATGGGTTCCATCCCTGCCCCTCTTTTCCTCCTTTCCCCATTTTCTTCCCTCTCTAGCTTCCAAATATGAGAGATAAATCAATCTTTGACTTTCTGAGTTTGCCTTATTTAAGGCTTTTAAGTTCCATCCATTTTATATCAGATGACACTATTTCATTCTTCTTTATGACTTAGTAGAATTCTACTGTGCATGTATACCACATTTTCTCTATCCAGTCATCCGTTGACAAACACCTAAGCCAGTTCCATTCTTGGCTATTGTGAATTGTGCTGCTGTAAACATGGCTGTGCATATATCACTGTAGTACAATGATGTTAAATCTTCTGGATAAATACAAGATGTGGTACAGCTAAGTCACATGGTGATTCCATACCTAGTATCTCCATACTGATTTCCACAGTACTCATATTGATTTACAATCTCATCAATAGTGTCTGCCCATCACTTTTAGAAGACCATTCTGGGGAAGAAGTGCAGGGAAAACAGAGCAGAACATCCACAGCAAACTGGGACCTTCTGCCATTCTGCTAAACAGAGCCTGGTGGTCCTCTTTGTTTGGATGGCATCTGTTCAGTTCTACCAAGTTGCTCAGTTGCAGATACTTCCAACTTGGAAACAGTTATTATGATATTATTATTATTATTATTATTATTATATCTCAAACCCCCACAAAGTATTTCTTGAGCATTCCCTAATGCCAACAGTGGGCCCAGAACAAGGTGGGAGTAGTTGAGTAACACCACAGAGTTAAGGTGTTTGTCACAAAAGAGAATAGAATAGCCCAGATAGCCTGGCCTGGTAAAGACAGTGTTCTGGTGGATGGAGTTGATTGATGGGCTGGTTGTACACTTTTTTTTTTTTTTTTGGTATGTTTTGAGGGTAGTAATGGTGATAGATTGTTAGGAGCAGGTAACTGAGGGATTTGATAGAGACCTCTCTTTCCCAGGGCATCTGGTACAATTTCTCTCAGCATTCTAGACCAGAATTTGAGAAATTTATAAAAATTTTTTAAAACTTTGATAAAAATGATAATAAATCTGTTTTTTCCCCTTAAACAACAGAAAGAAAGACTGCGTCAGAAGGAAGCCAGTGTGACCACCAACTAAGATGGAGACACAAGAAAATGAGGATGGCGAGCTGTGGATCCCTGCAGCGCTGCAGGAAGCTCTTGAAAGATTTGTTACTAAATGTCTGTCTTAACTCAGTCCTTTCTGAGGTGTCTGCAGGGAGCACCCTGTGCCTTCTTAAAAGTCCCTTATTAGGCCACAGGAGCAATGAAAGCTATTTAAGGAAACACTGCAAGAGTACTGGATAATTGTTTCTTATAGAAGTTCAAAGTCCACTCCATTATAAGACCAGAAGAAATACCAAGATTTTCCAAATTTTTTTAAAAGCTGAAATTTCACACTTTCTTTCCCAAACTTGATCTTTACAATCTGGTCACAGAAGAAGAGGATCTCTCATGATAGTTGCCTTAAGGACAGTTCAAGCCTTGGTTTTTACATGTTGCTGTTTTGATATTTAGTTTATTGGTCTTAATTTTGATCATGTTGCAGCAAGATCCTATGGTATCTTTCTTGCCAACAATGTGGAAGCTCACCAAAATTGTTTATGAAAACAATTCCCCACACTAGGGAAATGATGATGCTGTCGTTGTTCATGCAATGGAAGGGAGACAAAATGGAATCGTGTGTGGGCAGAGAAGGGGCATAAGTGGCCATAAAATTCATTCAGAGAATGTTATGATACTAGGAGTTGATCTCGGCCATTAAGCAAGGCCCATTGTTTTATTTTTATATCAGTTCATTGTGGGTTCCTGAACCAGCAGAGATTCTGTACCCCCAACTCCAGTAGAAACAGGAACACCTGAGCAGGGACAGCCTTGGCAAAGTCAGTGCATCTGTTTGAACAAGCAACCCAGGGGCATAGCACCCTGCATGTTTCAGATCCATTGTGAATGGGTGATGGATGCCATCATTGACATGTACCCAAGTTCCACATCATGTCCTGGGACTTGTGGCTGGACCTCTCCCACCACCCCCAGGAGATGGTTTTCAGACAAAAGGGTAAATGCCACTGGTGCCTTTTTTATCATGGCCTTGGCTGACAGGCATGTGAAATAGGGTTAGCCGGGGGTATTGGCTGGCACAACACTTAAGTTCTTTACAGAAAAAAATGAAAAGAAGGTAAATATATCAATATTAAACTTTGAGTAGAATATCAGGCCTAGGTAGCTCTTTCTGACCCTGGCTCTTGATTCACAGAGGAAAACCACTTTGGAAATCTACCTGATATTTTCCCTCTCAAGCCATTACTCTTTGAATCTGTCCTATGAGGGGATAAGAAGAAAGACTGGAGTCAGCTTTCTCCTCCAGTGGTGGGGACAGTCTAGAGGTGAACAGGAATCTTATGTCCCATCCAGATCCACTGCCATCTATGTCCTGCCCCTTACCCTAGCATCCTTCTAGAACCTCCGAACTTGCCAGGTGCCCAAGTGTCTTCCCAGGATATGCCTGCCAATCATCAGCCCCTGAACTCAGGGACATTCCTGTAATAGATTGAGCTAATGAAAGCAGCACCATACCTGTATACAGTGCAAACCTCAGAATCAAGACTACACAAGTGAGATCAATGAAGTCACAGGCACTAACCAGATTTTCTGATGGTCACATACTTGGATTTTTTTAAATTCAAAATGAAGGAATGAAACCGAATGGATAAACAGATAAGGAAATTACTGGACTAGAAAGACCTGAAGTTGCTTGTGAGCAAGAAGTTTTCCCTACTGCTTTCCTATTGTTTCTCCTGGTTTTCACATAACTGTGAAGAAAATGAAGGAAATTCATCAACTTAAGGGAAATTTCACTTACAGCCATACTGTACTCCATGACATTCTTTCTATTATGATGGTGCAGAAAAAAAATGCCAGTTTTGTCCATGCCACACAAATTATCTCTGCATTCAGCAAGGTCAGCATAAGTCTAGATCCTTATGGATGTGATGGGAGGAGCACAGGAGGCTTTTGGCAAAGCCACTGCTATGCACCTCAGATCTCTAAGTAGAATGCCCATGAGAACGTGACACTGTTCCTGTGTCCTTCAAGGACTCCCTCTCAGGGAAACCATGATGAAGAATTAGGAGCGGAAACATTAGTTTGAGAGTTAGACAAATGCAGCCCAACTTAGTGATTGAGCTAATGAAAGCAGCACCATACCTGTACACAGTGCAAACTGCTGCAGAGTTCCTGTTTCTAAAGAAAGGTCTGCCTGCCTCTGTGGGGAAGCTTAATGGGTTTGTAACACTAAAATGTATTTCATAAGCATTTTAAAGCACATGGCAGAATATCCACTATTCTCTTCCAGTTTGAATCCTCTGTTATCTAATCTGAAATGCTACCTCCTAAATCTACCACTGCAGACATTGTCTTCATTTCTACTTTAAGTTCATGCTCAGTGAAGGTAACAGTTTGTTTCAGGCAGTGCACCTGTAACAATCCAAAGGGCTTTAAAAAGATCCCTCTGAAATGCAGTTGAGCTTGTGTTAAATGCAACAGGTATGTTTAAACTTTTCACAGAGAGGACATGTTTGCAATACTAGTTGGCAGCTGGAACACTTTAGAAAAGCAGGGTTTAATGGGCTTCTCTAGGCACAGCTCTCCATGAACTAGACAGGAGAAAGACCAGCATTGCTGCATTTAACCACACTCACACCTAACTCACTAGCAAAATGCTAAGGAACCTTCCCTGATAAACCAGCTTTGTCTCTTCCCAGTCAAGATTCAGTAGCTCAGAGGACACAGTTTGGCAACAGTTCAAATTCTTGCATATGCCACTGGCAATAATTATAGAGCACACAGGTAGACAAGCTATTGTACTAAAATATAAACACATTAGGGAAAAGACAGCATCAGGCCTCTGCAATGTCCAATATTAGGTTAGGAAGTGTGCCATATGTTTTTTAACCTGAGAAGAGGCAGCTTACAAGAAAAAAAGAGGGCAAGTGTGGCCTAGCAGAAGGGTAGACATATGATGATGCGGAGGCCCTGGGGGTCACAGGTGATGGTTCTGCTGCTGCATCCTTGGATTGACGTCAATGAGATCTTTTCACAAGCTCGTGGCATCTACCTAGGAATTATGGAAAAAGAACTTCTGAAGTCTGAGAAGTAAATAAGGAAACCCAGTGGTGCTACTATACCTTTAAATGTTCTAGCTGAAACAAAATGCCAACACAGATGAAAAATTGAATATTAGATTGGATACTGGGCAGGGGAGAGGTTTTAAAAACCCCTCCCAGGAAGGAGAATTGAAGCTGCAAACCTGCTGAGCTTCCTTTTTTCATGAGTACCCTAAGGAAAGGTGTCTCCTAAATGAGAAGCTCATGCTACTGGTGAAGAAACTGGAAAGAGAGAGAGAGAAATAACCCTCCAGCAAGATAAAGAAGTAATTGGTATCTAAAGTCTACAGTTAGATCTAGTAGAAGAGATAGAAATGTATTTTCAGTAATGATTTGCCTAGTGTCCTGATTGTAGGCTGTGCTGCCTACAACAGGGACGTTTTTGTTTTAATGATATTTTTGATTCCTTTATAGTTTTGTGTTCTCAATGCTAGCTCTACTTCTCCCCTTCAGGCACCACTGATGCAGATCATTACAGGCAGCAGCACAGCAGATTACACCAGTCAGTGTGAATTAGCACTGCAGACCTGCAGATTCTCCTTTCCAGCAACTAGATTGGAGCCTTGGTGGGGGAATTTCTTCATTTTCTGGCATCCTAAGTCAGAATATTTTGTAGTACTCATCCCCCACCCAAAAAAAAGCAAATAAAACCAATCTGGGGCATTATATGGTGAGGAAAAATGAAGTCCACAAAATAGAGCCTACCCTGAGTATCTGATCTAAATATCAACTATGTCATTTTGTCAATTAATTTAAACTGGATTGAAAAGTTGCTAGCAAAAAGAATGTTTGACTTGAGCTTCATTTTCTTTGATCCTGTATATTGTAATTAGAAAGCCAAAAAATGGATAAAATTTGTGGATAGGAAAGAGAAGCTATAGTGGCTATGGCATGAACTGCCTGCTGCCCACATGAGACAATTTTAAGAAATCGGTTTTAAGAAATATGGATTTGAAATAACCAAAGATTGTCCTGGAAATTAAAAAAAAACATAAAAGAAGACATGATGTAATAGTTGGGATGTGGGGATATTAGACCATTAAAATGTCCTCCCTCTGGTTCTCTTAGGAGCCATTTAGGAACGTGTGGAACACCCAAAGACCATGAATACCACATTTCACAGATCAGCCATTTTATCTTTGGGGATCCTATAACTGAATAGAGTGGATTAGATAAAAATACAGATTTTTTCATTCATGTCAGCTACTTTTTCTTTTCTTACAGCACAGGGGAGCCAAGTCTTTATGTGGCCAAGCTGATAGGATTTGAAAAGAATGGAAAATTTTTAGCCTTTCCAAGACGCAAATAACTTTTGTTATATGGATTTCCATTTTCCAGCTATAGAGAGAGCAACTTAGCTACTTAGCAGCTATTACTGGTACAGAATTGGCTTAAAGAAAAGCATCTTTTCTTTAAGAAAAAGATCTTCTTTAAGAAAAAGGCTCAGCAGATCTTCTCTTTACACTTACAGAACAGTATTCCTAATGCCAGTAGCAATTGAATCCAGACATAAATGGACTTGATTACACAGCTGTGTGTGACTGAGAGGCCCACTCTCTGTCATTTCTACATGCTCATCATGTTGCCACCTTGTAAGAGGCACTGAATTTTAGTTTCACAATTCTTCATTTCTCTTCCCAAGGAGTGGGCAACCTACCAAATACTCCCAAATCAACGCTTTGCTGGGAAGTAGTGAATTTCAGAGAGTTTTAACATGTTAAAGTTGAAGCCAATTTAGTAGCCCTATTTGTTCCAAGACTCTTAACCAATAATGTGATATAAACACATTATATTGCATTTGGGAAATCTGTGTAGTTAACAACTTGCTTGGAAACGTGAAGTTACTAAAATGGCAGGTAGCTAACTGTGTCTCTTAAGTCATCATGACGTTCCTCCCAACAAAGAGATTAAGGAAGCAAATCAAGCCTCATGAATTAGGTTGGCTGTCCTCAAGTAGTAATTGCTGGACTGATTTTCCCCTTGATCCAGCCCTTGTTCTAACTATCCTGGGGATAACCAATAGCCTTCCCTTTTCTGATATCTTGGTTCCTTTAAGTCCATAGCTCACATGAACTTCAGATGTTATTGCATATTTCATCAAGTACTTGATCAAGAGAAACCTAACAATCTCAGTTTTTTATATGAAAGTGGTAAATAAAACCATTAGGTTATTCTGCATTCCATTTGTGCTCATATAGCTCTCTCTTTTTTTAATCTTAGGTATACATATCTCCTAAAGACTGACACATCTACTTCTGTAGCCTTTCTTTTTTTAATGCTTTGTGTGAAACTTGATGGTATTCAGCTAACAAAATGCAAATGTACTCATAGATTCAGGCAAAAATTAATATCTGAAGTGTTTGGAACAAACAACTTTCTACCACATTTGAGCTATCTCATAGGCTGAGTGTTCCCCTAAATTCTACATGAGGAGCTCTCTACCTTTGAAACAGTAAGCATATCTTAAAAGAGAATGACTGTTTCCCGCAGGTATAGTGTAGGTTTCCTGTGCATTATCTTAGCATATTGCATAAGATATCAGAAGTTCACATTAGCAGTGGTTTGTCAATGTCTTTGTTAAAGTTGTACCTACTTTCCTTCATTGTTCTCTAAAGAGCTTTCTTCCACTTTCATCTTCAGAAGCAAATGCATTTTTGATAGTTTGACTGGGTTATCTCTCCAAGTTAATCTTTCCAAAGTGAAAGGCTACTCCCACAGACCACTGCATGTACAGGAAAATTATTCTCTACCTCCCATGGCATGAATGATAGATGTTCAGAAACAAACATCTCTCTGGGGATTGTTGGCATGGATTCTGAATTCTACTTTCTTTCTGTAAGGTATATAAAAAGGAACATTTAGCATGCAAAGTTGTATTGCTCTTTCTAATAAGAGACTAGAAGGACATTTAAAATGTTTACATTTTAGATATGCTTGCATGAACTATAAATAGCTCTTTTTTCCCCTTCTTGCCAATTTGTCTCTGAATATAATCTTATTCATATTCTTACCATCAAGGTATAAAGAAGGTAGTTTCAGCACCTCTGAGACTGTGTACTACATAAGTCTTGAAAGATGTCTATTTCCATTGGAAATAAACCAACCAGAAAGGGGGAAAGTCTATAGTAATTATTCAGTTTGCCTACAGTGATGGGGTCTACCAAAGGCATGGGTCTAGTCTAAAATCATTAATTTTATGATTCTTTAATTCTGCAGTTTCTCAAGACAAAAATAATGTGACCCTACCATCAGCTGGATTTAAAACTTTTGAGGAGTTTTTATGCATTAGGAAATAAGGATGTTTCTTTAACAGTATCAAAGATTCTCCTAAGAAGATAGAAACTTAAAATTAGAAATTGGATAATTTTTAAGAATCTTTAGAGGATGCATGTCATTGATTCATCGTTGCCTTTTCCTTTCATTGAACTGTAATTAGAATAGTGTGGGAAGCACAATGCTCTTGGACTTTGATTTAGAGGATCGTGCTTTGGCCTGGAAAATAAGCATTGGCCTGCCTGCCTTGAACCTAAGTGAAATCAGTTAGCATCCTAATACGAATCAGATGTAACAGAAATGTAAATTATTTCAAGATCCTTTAGGGTTTAATTTTCTTAGTGACACCCTGGACCTTGTATGCATTTGATCCTTGCAGTGGTCTTCAGTTCAGACTTGTGAGATGTCAAGCAATGGAAGGAAGGGGAAAAAATAGGAGGCAGGGTACTAGAAATTTTTAACAAAGCCAGTTCAATATTTTGCTGATCCCATTCATTTTGTTAGAGAACTGGTGATTTTTGGCATAGTTGTAATCACAGGAAGCTTTTTTAATGGAAACTGAGCAAGTAGACATGCCCAGTATATTGTATTGGTTGGTGCTGCCAGAGCATGTACCCCAGTGAAACTGGCGCATGTTGTTTTAGTACCTCGATCAACTTCAGATCTGCTTCCATGGGGTTGCTTGTTCATGGACCTGCCTGTTTTCTCTGGCCTCCTTTGGTTTTTCCCCTTTCTGGACGTAGGCCTCAGCCTCCCCTTCCTTCACATCCCACAGCTAGTCTTTCCTAACTGAGCCTTTACGGTTTCTCCCCAACCCAACTTTTTTTCACCTCCCTGCATCATAGACACTGAATATCTCCCTGGGCCCCTTCTCCACCCTCTCACACCCTGTGCTCCACCACTGGATGGGGAGCTCCACTGTCACCAAGGAGCCAGAGTGAGACACACTGCTGGGACTGCCTCTTGTTAATGTCAGCGTCACCTCATCATTTAGGCCAAAGGAAAATCCATAAAAGAGATGGAAAGTGCATTTATTTTTCATTTTATTTTACTTTATTTTAAGAAGGTTGGATTCAGGTTTGCAGGGAGTGTTCTAGTCCTCAATTTTTCATAGATTTTACTTTAAAACTATCTAATTAGGGAATACACAGGTCACAGCTGTGATAAAGAAGACTCAGTTTTTGACTTTCAAGTAACTTTCTGTGCTGCCAGACAAATTTGACTTCTGTGCAAACATTTTGAATCAGACTTGTTATTGCCACTCCATTCTTACCACTCACTACTCATGATTCAAACATTACCCCTAAACTGAATCAGGATGTTGACATTTTGTGGTCAATTTCACATTAACAGTAACTATTGCACTCTTAAAAGCACTTAAAGAAAGTGTAAGCATGTCTTAAATAGTCTACTGTTTGACCTGGTAAAATCTTGGCTTTTCTGTTTAATTAAGTATTAGACTAATCTGAAGATGTAACTTTTAAGGGACTTTGAGCAATAACAAAGACAATTGGGGAAAAGGAGAAGGCACTTTTAAAGACATGAAACCTTACATTACAAGCTCTTGGATATTTTTAAATATAAGCTAATTGGATTCAGGTATTTTTCCCTTTACATTTTTAAGAATATGTATTTCTAGTTTGTTTGCATATTTAATTTTGTCAAAGCTGAGAACTGCTCATAAGTTAAATTTTTACATGTAATTTGCAACCAAATGAAGTATTTATTTTTAAAAAGAAAAGGTGAAGGAAACAATATTGATTTGTACATAATGAAAATGTGTGTATGTGTGTGTGTGTATATATATATATACATATATATATTTTCCTCCTTGACACTACTTGGTCACCTTATTAAGTGTATTTTTGTACATAGAATATATTGGTTAAAAAATGTAGTTGTCTATTCTAAGAATTCTCTGTGATAGATTATATTTATCCTAATCTATTGATACCTCTATTAATTTGTTTCAAGAGATACAACTATATTTTTTGGAATTTGCAGAGAATTGCATTCATGGCTTCCAATTGTAAATATGCTAAGGGTATTTTAATAAATCCTGGTTTCATGTCCATCTGGTGTGCAATGCAGATTTGTTTACAGGAAGCACTTAAAGTGGTATCTAAACAGTACTCTAATGTAGAAAATACCAGTATTTCTAACTTGCATTGCCACTCATGCAGTATTGCTGCTGAGCTGCAAGATCTAAGTCCCAGTAAGTCAATTGTATTTCCTTCTTTCTCCCCTGTCTATTTATGGTAGACTTAGGCATTGGTAAACCCAACCAGGCTGTGTCATCACTTGGCAGAAGGCAGAAGGCAGAAAGGCAAAGAGGCAAAAGGAGGCCCAGCTAGTTCTTTTATATGGTATCAATACCACCCATGGAAACAGAGCCCTCTCCCCTAATCACTTCTAGCTTATCTTTAAATACTGTTACAAGCAATTAAATTTCAACCTGAGTCTTAGAGGAGACATTCAAACCTTGGCACAGGCCATAAACTTCTAATACAAACCATTCCACCTCAGTCTTCATCTTCCCAAGTGATTATATTCATGGAATTAAAAAGCTTAAAGTTGACTTGCACGGACCCTACCTGCATTACTCTGTTTTGAATACCTCTGAGTCTAAATCTTCTCAAGGTAGATAACACTTGCCTCATGGACATCTTTATGTGATGAAGAATGATAAGAGAGGGTAACTGTGTTAGTGGACAAAACAACCCAAAACTTAGTGCATTAAAGCAACAATTAGCTTCTATTGGTCAAGGATTTGGGAAGAGCAAACTCAATTTGGTAGCTCGCTCTCTCGGAGCCTCTCATAAGTTTATAGTAAAATGACAGTAGGATCTTTCATCAGCTAAAAACTGGAAGGCTTGAATGAGGCTAAGAAGTGCACTTCCAAGGTAGCTGACTCAGCAAGCACATTGGTGCTGTGTCCAGGCTGGAAGCCTCAGCTGACCTCCACTGAAGCCACTCAAATGGTCCAAGGGAAACGTAATGCTTTCTTTGACCAAAGCTAAGAAGTCACACCTGATCACTCATCGCCCTCTGTTGCTTGAGGCATTTATGAAGGTCTTCCCAGGTTGGGAGAATAGAGAATTAGAACCCATCTTTTGATGGAATAATGTCAACCACATTGCAAAGGCTTGTGGGATGGGATATGGATTGGAGCAAACATCTTCGAAAAATACACTCTATCGCAGTGCCCCACCCTATTCCATCTAGTTGTAGTCTTCCTTCTCTTGTTATTTTTGTCTTAAAATGAAATTTCAGATTTATTTTTCAAATTTTTCTTTACCACTTTTCTGCAAATTTTCCCTCCTATTGCCAGCATATCAGAATACAGACATTTTGTCTTGCTTCTCTGAATAAAAGAGACATTGTTTACCTGAAAGAAATGAGACATATTCTAAAAATTAATAAACAGAGGAGAAAGGAAAGACTCAAAAGGGATCCTAGGATTTTACTCCAAAATCATATGCCTGTGTTTCCCATCACTGAAGCCAAATTACAAACAGCAAGTAAAATCACAACTTCTCAATGGCTTAGAATGGAGTTCACACAATAGATATTATATTAAAAAGAAAGGAAATTCTGACACATGCCACAGTATAGGTTGACCTTGAAGACATAATGCTAAGTGAAATGCCAAGCTGATATTGCTGAGCGTGGTGGCACATGCCTGTAATCCCAGCAACTCCAGAGGCTGAGGTAGGAGGATCACAAGTTCAAAGCCAGCCTCAGAAATTTAGCAAGGACCTAAGCAACTTGGTGAGACCCTGACTTGAAATTTTAAGAAAAGAAATTTTTAAAAAGTGGGGATATGTAGCTCAGTGGTATAGCATCTCTGGGTTCAATCCCTGGTACCAAAAATTTTTAAAACGACAAATATGTGATTCCACTTATGTGAGGTACCTACAGTAGTCAAATTTACAGAGGCAGAAAGAATCATAGTTACCAGGGGATAAGGAAAAAGGGAAAGGCATACTGGGTACACTTAAAAATGGTCAAAATGGTTTTATGTATATCCTATCACAATGAAAAAAGTAACAGTATATATGTTATATCAAGGACATCCTATATACCAAGTGCTATATGAAGCATTTTACATGCATTACTTTGTTTAATCTTTATAACACTGTAGGTAAAAATTGCTACTATCCCCATTTGACAATAACAAAACTGAAGCCTGAAGAAGTTGCTAACTTTCTCATGCAATTAATAAGTGGCGAAAATAGAATTCAAATTCTGTAAATAACTTTCAGCCACTATCCTGTCTCTATGATCATAAAAAATAAATTAGGGAATAAAAAGGATGTATAAATAATGATTATAAAATCTTGACACATGGGTGTCAAGATGATAAAAATGTATACCTTCTAACAAGATGCAAACTCTTTTTTATACATTACTATTCTTTCATATCTTAATTTACTTTTTGTCAAGTAATCAGCCCAAGAATATTAGCACTTTTATAAAAGTCAAGCACATCTGTAAAAGTCAAAGAAACTGACACAATACAGTCCTGTGCATGTGCACATACTTCATGGACAGCTCATGTACATCTTTCAGAAAGTTCTCCCTTCTACAGGATAGAGAAAGTAGAATGTAACCTAAGGCAATAAGTGAGCAAGAGTTATCAAGAACCACATAAAAGGAACAACTATCTTATCTACTTTTGAGTTGTTGTCTGAGGTAACCTTACAAGGAATCAATCTGGAAATACATCTGACAAGGTAGGAAAATCTATGTTCAAACAAGAATGTTTAAACCAAACTGAATCCTGTGGTACTCAAAATTTCCCAGAGGCAGCTACCAACACTATGCTCTGTCCATTGCTTGATCTGAAGTCAGAACAAAACCCAGTTCAACCTTGTTCAGGGTCAATTTTCAGATATTTCCTGCTGAAATTAAATCCTCTATTGAGAGAACATTTTATTTTTAGTGAAAGAACTACAACAGATAGTTTTACTCAGTTTTTGTCTACTGGCCTGAACTAGAAGGAACGAGAAAAACATTTAAAAAGAAAATACCCTCCTTCTTACTTCAAGTTCTAGACAACATCAAGATTTACCAAATTATCTAATTACTTTGCCTGATCTTCCAAGACTTCCAGCATAATTCCAAAGAGCAGAATGGTTTGGCTACATTTGAGAAAACATTGCATTAAAGGGTATTTGTTCCCCAAAAGGATTCTTGCCTAAGTACTGGGGGGAGACCACTAATCCAGAAAGTCAAAATACTTCTGCTCTTCCGCTTCTACTTCTGGTTTTGTGTGACGGTAAGAGAACACAAAAGACCTTACCAGGGCTCTCTCCTTGCTGTTGCAGCCTCTCCAAAGAAGCTCTTTCTGACATATAGGCCGCCGCTTCTCACAAAATTCTCACCTAAGACTCAGTGGTAACTTCAGTGTTCTCCTAAAATACAAGTTTTTATTTAAACCTTCAAATGAGAAGTTATGACTCCAATAACAGTGAAGTATAAGGAAAACTCATGGTCTTCGAGATTAGACTCAATTTTATATCATGGCTTTGCCACTTCTAATCTGAAGCTCATTTGAGAACTCTAAGCCTCATATTTTTCATCCAAAAAAATAGGAATGAAACATATCTCAGGCTGGAGATGGAGTTCAGCAGTGACAGAGCACTTGCCTAGAATGTGCCAAGACCTGGGTTCAATCTTCAGTACTGAAAAAGAAAAAAAAAAAGTCTCAAAATGGATTGTATAAGGTTGCCAAGTATAAAAAGAAAGAATGCAAAATTCCTGGCAAGGACAATAAACGCTATTTTCTTCTCTCTCGTAAGAACAGTCAATATTGTTTTTCCTGGGACCATCCCTTCTAGCAATAATCCCAGCTTAAAATGCAATGCATGAGTGTTACAGCAAATTAGAAATAATAAACAATCATGAGCTGGAAGACAGATCAGAAGAAAATATCAATGAAATTCAGAGAGATGAAAGTTTAAAGAAAAGGTAAGAAATTTAGAAGATGTAATGAGAACAGCATAAATATAAGCAAAAGTTAATGGCAGAATGTTAAAAAAAAATTCATCAGTGAACATATTCACAAAGCTGTTGGAACCCCTAGCAATGTAAATAAAAAGAAGACACATCCTAATTAGACTTCAGAAATATAACAAAAATAAAATCTTAAAAGCATCTGGAAGGGAGAAAAGCACTAAAATCAAAGGGTGATTGTAGCAAGATGGTAGATTAAAACTCACATCCATAAATGCATTTAAAGTAAAGGACCATATATATTGAGATATATATCTCAAGTAAAAGATAAATTCTGTTAAACTGGATTTCTTGAGAAGACTGAAAAACCTCACAGCTATTAAGATATTAACAAGAATTCAAAAGGATAAAAGCAAAAGGATGAAAAAATATACCCTTTAAAGTTATAAAAATTAGATTGTCAGCTTATTTCTCAAGTGAAATAATGAAATTCAGCAGATAATGTCATGAGTTTTCAATGTTCCAACAGCACATACAAAAATGAGATTTTTCACTAGAAGAAACCCTGCCCTAAAATTGACACAGCTACAGTAATATCAAAGGATACTTGAGATTAAAAGAAAAAATCGCTGTAAGCTAAGAAGGACACTTCACACTGAGTAAAGGTTTATCTTACCCAGAAGATAAAGCAATTTAAAGTTTTGATTTTCTGATGACATAGCATATTTAAAGGAAAAATAGAGCTGTAAGAAAAAGAAAAACTCGTAAACACTGTAAATAACTGATAGAACACACAGAAAAAAATTAGGATAGAGATTAGGAAAACATAATTAATAAATTGACCTTGTCGTTATATATAGGATAAAGCACCAACAACTCTCTAAACAAATACAGAACATTGACAAAAACATTGGTCTCATCAAATTTAACAGAATTAACTTTAGAATGTGGTCAGAAAACAATGCAATTTAATTGGAAAAAAGGACTTTTTTAAACTAGAAAATTTCTTCAAATAACCAGTGGACAAAAAAGAAACTAAAATTGGAATTACAACATATTTTGAGCTAAATGGTAATATTATTTCAAGGAAAAACTTGTGGAAATGGGACAAAAATC